GTCGATACCTACACGGAGCTCACGAAGCATATACACTTCTACCCCGATTTCCATGGTGAGATGAGCTACATTTCGTTTTAATATCTTGCTGACTCTATCGCAGGAAACAGGTCTCCGATTGCCGACCCTCGAATGAGAGGTTCCATTGTCGGTCTTGAGCTGGTAAGTCACTGCTTTGCTTAAGATTTGAACTTCAGCTGAAGTGTGAGCTAGGAATCATCTATCGCTGACCTCGCTCGCAAGTACTACCTAACACTTGAGGCTATCGCACTTCAAACACGCCACATCGTCGAGGCTCTCAACACAGGGTCATGACATCACGTCTCTGTATATGTCCGGTGGACAGGCAAAGAATGTGGTGATGATGCAGCTCTTTGCGGACACGTGTGACATCCCCGTCATCCTGCCCAAGTCACATTCCGAGGCTGTGGTTCTCGGTGCAGCGATGTTGGGAAGGATTGCAGCAGAGGGTGTCAAGGACGGAGAAGACATGTGGAAGATTATGGTAAGACATCCTATGTAATCTATCGAGCGTAGTAGATACTGATTGTCATTCAGGTCGAAATGACACCCACTGGAACCCTCGTGGCTCCTAGTGCTTCATCGAAAGTGAAGAAACTGTTAGATGCCAAATACAAGATATTCCGAGAGACGATTGATATCCAGAAGCGGTGGAGACAGGAGATCGAACAAGCCAAGCAATGAAATGTGCATGTGCAGTCAAAGAAAGCGCAATCCGGTTCACGATAGATTTGTGTAGTATTGTACCAATATTGTATGAATGCAAGAACACGAATTTGGTATCCCAGTCGACTGCGAGATAACGATTACTAGAGCAATCGATCGAGAATCATTAATCAGCTATCACAGTGATGCACTGGTAAATGCACCCGGAGGGATCACCAGTACTTGGTACTTGATGCTAGTGAGCAGTGGTTGCACTGGCAGTGTTGGGAGATGGGGTGAAAGCGAAGAAAAACAGTTCGAACTGACGAAGATGGGTTCTTCGAGATCTTGCATATAATTGAACTTTGCTTGCTTGACCAACTTTCTCCTCTGCTATCTTCGGCAATATTCGATGGGAACCCCAAGAGCTGTTCGCTCTACCGGAAAACCAATACGACTCGACAAACCGCCGTAGTAAAAAGCGGTTATTGATGACAGTGCTCTCGCTCGCCATCGGATGAGGACGTTCTTAACTTCCTTGGAAATATCGGCACAGTCACAACAAAATGAACTGGTAACAATGTACTCGAATCGTCACATGTTCATTTTGTTGATCCTCTCCGTCGGTAAGTGGCATCAAAATACTTGATCGCAGTATTTGAGGATTGTCGCCTGCCAATCGGCAGAAAGCTTGCTTGACCTGTAGGTCAAGTTGATGTTCTAACCTGAGGGTTGAAAGCTTGGAGGGCATCGGGTGTTGTCACTGTTGTGTAATGAGCAGCAGACAGGCTTTGTTATCTAAACTCCGCTTGAATCTGACGACCTCATGTGCCGACCGGCGGCCATACCTTGCTTGCACATTCTGATTCACCAATATCATGATCCACCACCATGACATGAGCGTCAAGCGATGATAATCGAATATCTACATTTCCATACTTTGGAAAAGGCGAACCGGATTCAATCAGGCTTGATGAACTACGTTAATTGGTCGTAGATCGTTATTTTTGACGCACTTGCAAGCTGGAGAAACCAGCTGAAGGAGGTTACCACAAAGTCCGTCTGACCTTATACTGTCATGGCACAAATTATGTTTGATATTTTTATAGGTATATGATCGGATTGGGGCTCAGGTATTTTGCCGCCGGATTGTACTGTTATTCGAGCGCTCTCTTCTGCGTTTCCGAAAGACAAGTTTGAGTTGGAGGTAGCTAGAACTCGGAATACACGTTGTGTGTTATTATTCGTGCTGGCATTGAACACTCTATGTTCTTTTGAAAGGCGGCAACGTGCAAGATGATCGTCGCGTTCACAGATATACCTTCCACGAATTCATGTATGGAACTCTGACGCGTCGAATCCTGTGTGAACGGAATACATGGTCTTGAATTCGAGCCATCTACGAGCAGAAGTAGAATTTATTTCCAATCACCCTGTTTCAGCCGTTCTCTCGGAGCTTCACAAATTGCATCCTGCTCAGTTACCAGAGAGCCGGCTTCAACGCGTGTTATGAGAAAAGTTATTGAGTTGTGCTCTGTCTACCCCGGTGATATGTTGATACCTGCCAACATCAGCACTCTATGAATCAAGATGCGGCTGATCCGGAATCCAGTTATGAAATCAGTGAAGAAAGAAATATTTTGCGTGCTTTATTTCAGCAATGGAAGGGTCTGCCCGATCCCCATAGTGGAGAGAGGCGCATGAGATGGGTCGTCCTTTGCCTTACAGACCTGTTGCTTGGGCTTGTAACGATCTGGGTGGACAAATGTCTCTAATGAGCCAAAATCTAGCCCGAAATTGGGTTGCCTGAAACCTACGAACCACAAATAAACACCTCAATCTGAATATTTCTTGTAATACTAGGACTGCAACTGTACGGTTCCTGGCATTAAGGAGATGAAATCATGGGAGTCGACAATGTAAAGTATACAGAACAAGATAGCAAAAGGTACATACTGTTCTGCAGATACATCGCATGTCAGTTTATGGACGAATCAGGTACGACGAGATAATCTTGAACTATTGGAGCAATCTTGTCAGAAACGCCGTTCAGAATGTCTATAGTCTCATTCTGATAGAAAATATCAGAAACGTCAGCCATGGATGATAGACGAATCAGTGGACTTGGACTCTTACCCAAACAGTGTTCTGAAATTTACGACCCTCGTCGCTCAGCACGAAATCGGCGACCTCTATGAGGCGGCCAAGGTTTACGTACCCGGCTTTCATATTGTCTTCATTGTCTCGTCCGCCCACCGCAGCAAATACAAGCTGACGGCTACCTTGTTCAGCCGTCCACGCCAGGAGACGTTCATTGAGAGCGACCGCTATTCTGGCAAATGAAAAGGTCGGTTTCTTGTACCAGTCACGCCGTAATTGTGAATAACAGTATCCTGGGTTCACGGCCACAGCGCTGAGTGGTGTGATAGACTGCAACCTGTCCGTCAAGGCACGAACGAAGAGAACATTCAACACTGGGTATGGGTCAGATTAAAACAGGAAACAAAGATAGGAGGCACGTACGCTTTGATTCATTATACCGGGATTGCATGTGCCTGAGAGATGTTGAACGTGAGGAATTCCTACGAAGATGAAGCTTTGTTTGTTTGCTTACTCAGGTATACACCACTCTTCGTTGCTCAGCGTTTCAAGTGGTGTCGTGGAAGCCTCGACCTCTTTCGCGGGCGTGATCCAGTAGTGAAGATCACTGGACACAATTACTATCCGTGAAGGTGTTGAAGACTTTTCCCCCCGCAGCGACTAATTGCGGAATGAGGAGCAAAGAAAGAAGTGACGTTGCAAGATGATTGACTTGTAGTCTGAAGGGCGGATATGAGTCATAACAACGCGCAGAAAAAGTGCAATAGACCAACACGGACTCCCAGCCATCAGCGGTGGGCTGGTAAACGAGCTGCACGATTGCTGCGTTCATGACAAGGATATGCAAATCACCGCCCTCCCTCTTGAATTTATCAGAAAATGTGGTGACTGATGCAAAATTTGCAAGGTCGACTATCCAGAGCTCGCATCCATTGTATCCGGTCTCTCGTTCAATTTCTAAGTTCAAAAGATAGAAGTCAATCGTCTCACATCGGGTTTATACTAAACGATCATACATACCAGCCAAAGCGACCTTCCCCTTGGCCTCGTTACGGCAGGCAATTATCAACCGCGCTGGTTGCATACGGGCAAAGTGTTTTGATGCCTCGAATCCAATGCCCACATTGGCACCGACGACAAGAACTGTTTTTCCAGATAGATCAGCCGTCTCCACTGGGGGCACCACCGACCATTGATCAATCACAGATGCGAGTAATGACTTCTTCATGATGATTGGGAAAGCTTGCAGATTTAAAGAGACTCCATTCGAACAACCTTTAATAGTACTACACGCCGTTCGGCATTTGGTCCACGTCATGCATCATGGAGGGGCCAATACTAGTAGTCACTGCATCAGTGCTCGATATTTGTAATACTTAGTGGTGACTCGGTTGATGCAGATAAGGCCTGTATCCAACAAATAGGATAGCTCCATCATCAAAAGCATAGGTATGCTCAAGACGGGATCAACTGCAAGAATGCGTCAGCTAAGATGCATACGGTAATAATTTGGCACTTGTTCTTTGTCCATGCAATGACACTATACCTTAGTCATGAACGTAATGTAAGCCTGTGCTGAAACACTGGATGAGTCAACTCTCCGCTACACAGGACCAATACAAGGCTTGAAGCCACGCTCCTACCCAACAGACATTTCAAGGGTGGGGGTCCCATCTAATACAGTAGTAGATAATCAAATAGAGCATTTTTTTCTCATCTACCATAATTCAAACACCAAACTTCTCCCTCCACCCTCTCAATGAGTTCCATGAGTGTTTGCAGGATACAAAGTACCCATGTGCATGTGTAACGGTCATACTTAGCGAATTGATAACAGCGCAGACAACTCTATACACTTGCCAAATTGGCTCAAGCGTGAATTGGTCCACAGGTGCGGAGGACCTGTGGCTTTACTTGTTTTCTTGTGTTTTGCGCCAGCGGTCGTTGAGAGGGTGGAGGGAGAAGTTCGGTGTTTGAATTATGGTAGATGAGAAAAATTGCTCTATTTGATTATCTACTACTGTACTAGATGGGACCCCCACCCTCGAAACGTCTGCTGGGTAGGAGCGTGGCTTGAAGCCGGCTCGCTGAGAGACAATTGATATCCAGAAGCGATTTATGTAAAACTTAGGCACAGTCTGGACAACAAATAATTGCGAATTCAAAATTCTGAATCAAGTCACATGATGGTCTAGGAGATGCCGGATCACATCATTGCAGATTATGCAGTGCTGTCAGCGCACCTTGCTTACCTACCGCCATGTCATCCAGTGAATCGATCAACAGTGACAAATCTACTCATTCTCTTCATTCTCATGGTACCATTGACCAAGTGGAATTGAAGAAGGGCAAAAGAAAGCCTGCTGCCTCCTGGACATAGTGCTGCTGTGGTCCGGTTCGTCCTTGGTTCAGTCCATGGTTCCAAGTTTTGGACGGACCGGACCTGAAAGAGGTTCGCGGTCCACCATCACCCGAACGGTTCGGACATAGGTTCAGACCTTCCCGAACCGTTCCGAACCCCGAACCGCAGCATCCTCATGTTATCGGTGAGGCACACACTACTAGTAATGGTCACTTCGACTTCGACTCAACTTCAACTTCTGCCCCCATGGTCATTGGGATCCTCAGGATTTGCGACGACTTTGAATTCTTTCCGGAGGCTCGCATCCCGCACCCCCGGCTCTCGAATGGGCTGTTTTCGCGACCCTCCAATGTATATGGCCTTGGAGAGCGGTTGTTCACTTTGTTAGCAGTTAAAAGGAGCAAGCACCAGGTGAGTTCACTCATCATCATGTCTGAATCTGACGCATGCGCCCTCAATACTGATGGATTCTTAAGGATGCTAAGGACATCATCTTTTATCATGATCCTGATGATACTGTCCCACTATCTACTCCTTCCTCTGCGCCTACTCTCACAGGTTGCAAACCAGTGCCAGTTATAGCTGGTTCTCGACGATCCGTTCGCATTCCTGAACTTATGTTTATAGTTTGACAAGTATTATAAACCGCCAACTCGGGCACCTGCCAAAGAACCCTGCTCCGCCAACAAGACCCTTGCATGAAAATCGGTACGGTGACGCGTGGATGCGCGAGGCCATCAAAACCCATCAAGCCGCAGACCAACGCGCTCATAATCCTCATCAAGAACTCACGATGTATCTGTCTTCGCCGCTAGAGCAAGCTGACAACATTGTTGCCTGGTGGGGCGTAAGTAATCTCATCATGACCTGTTTATTTGCTACTTAAATGGTTCCTTAGCTTCACTCATTGCAGTATCCTACTCTAGCACGCATTGCACGAGACTACTTGCCCATTCAAGGAAGCTCTGTCCCCTCCGAACAGGCTTTTTCGAGCGGAGGGATCACTTCTACTGTTCGACGCAATGGACTTGCAGCATCCACATTCAGCTCGCTGCAGCTATTGAAGGCAGCATACAAGAATGGCCATGTTTCTGCAAAGGTTGAGGCAGAAGCAGCCATGTTGGATGTGTAGCTACGAGTACAAGTTCTATCTACGTTTTTTTGTGCGCTGTAAAATATGTACATTTTTTTTTTGCTCACTGTAAAAAAAATCGGGTTCAGTTCACGTTCGAACGTGAAAATAACCGGACCTGACCATTCCAAACTGTTCGTAAAGGTCCAGTTCGGGGTTTGTCGAGTCTGGTAGAACTGGACCTAGGTCCGGTTCTTGGTTCTCGCTCATCCCTCTGTGAACCTGACCGAACCGGACCACGGCAGCACTACCTGGATATCAGATGAAGAAGCTGTTTTTGTCGACTTTCTATTGTCTCAGTTTTCTGTGAGTGGCGATGGAAATTTCAAGACTCCAACACTTACTGCAGCTGAAAACTTACTGAAGGAGAGATTCCCAAATGGAAGTGGTGCTGAGAAGACAGCTAGTGTTTGTAAGACTAAGTGACAATCGGTATGTTATCAGTCACATGATTATGTCACATAGATTCAATACCTTGTAGCTCAAATCAGGGTATAATGCTGTTTTAGATATCAAAAACACATCAGGATTTACATGGAGTGAGAGCCCCTTCAGTGACAAATTCTGTATTATATGTGTTACAATAACATTTACTCCTATCATATTTTTCTTTTCTTGTAAACCATGCCGCCAACTCTAGACTCATCTAGACTCGGCTATTCTCTTATCAAGCGGGCTGTCCGCACTTCTCTTCTTTCTGATTGTAACATAGATACTATCTTGCGCCACATGGCGGTTTCACCTATCTTTGCTATCTTGATAGGTTGTACTCTTTTTCCTATCTCTGTTACTTTTCTTGTCGCGGCTACGCCGCTTCCTTTTACCTATATAAAACCCTCTGTACCATAGATGTATTCCTTAACTTAATCTACTGGGTTTTCCCCTTGAAACCTGATCTACTAAGGTCTCCACCCTTAGTAGCCTGAACTCTGATTCTAAGACAGTCACTCACTGTCTTAGCCTGAAACCCTTGATTGCGGTAGAAGTGCTAAAACCACTCACCGCTTAGGCAGAAGTGCTAAAACCACTCGCCGCTGATCCTGCATAGAAGCCGCGGCTCGTGCAGTAGGAACCACCAGAAACCTCCCTTGTATTAGGAAGGCCGACGAACTGTTCGCCCGACAGGTCTATCTTGACCGGCAACAGCAGAACTATCCCAGTCGTAACAATATGGGTCACCCGACCTACATAATATCCCGTATAAGACGGGCCAGCGGACTATGGGCCGATGTGATGTATATCCCTGATGTTGACGGATGGGCTGGGGGGAATATTATTTCCGATGGAGACAGGTGGGCCCATCTATGCCAATGTTATATATATGCTCGATGATGTTGGATGGGCTGGGATGAATATTTTTACTGATGGAGATGGGTGGGCCCATCCGGGGAATATGTACAGTAGGATGGACATGTATATTATAGACAGCTAGGCTGAAAGGAGATGAGAGGCAATCATTATTATATAGATGGGTGGGCCAATGTAAAGGTACATTGTATAGACAGGTGGGCTGATGTACAGGAATAATTTTGTAGACGGGTGGGCCGAGGGAGGGGTGGAATATTTATTATATATGGGTGGACCAAGGTCATTGTGAATTGTACAGATGGGTGGGCCGAGCGAGCAATAAAACATTTATTATATCGATGGGTGGGCTGAGAGTGCAGGAAATTATTTATGATATAGACTGGTGGGCTGACGAGGTAATATATTACATAGACGGGTGGGCCGAGGTAGGGAGATATTGTGTAGACATATAGGCCAAGGTATTGGTTTACTATATAGATATATAAAGCACTTGTCTGACATGCACGGATTGCCGAGTCCCGACGCCCGAAAATCGAATCCCATGGTACAACATCCATTTTTCCATGAGAAATCACTGTCTCGAATTCCGGATGCCTGATGACCGGAAGCTCCAGACTGGAAACTGGATACTCGCAGGAATGTGTGAAATATTGATGTCCTGAGACATATCACTGAGTGCTGAGAGCCAAACCGCAAAACTGAAAGTGTTACCACTGACTGATTGAATCACCTAGTGCCGAGTGCCGAAGCCCAAAGCCTGAAACCCGAGCCGCGAAACCCGAGACTGGAAGCAATACACAATATGGAATTTCTTACAAAATTCACCATGTGCCGATCCTAAAACCCTGGAATTCATCATTGACTTATCGATTCACCAAGACCCGAGACCCAAATGCTGAGTGCCAAGGCCAAATCCGAAACATGAAATCAATGGAAACCCACATTTCACAACATTGTTGACTTGGAAATGTTAGATTGTCTTCAACAGTTTGCCAGAAGTCATTTTCCGATCCCCGAGCCTGAAACCCGAAACCTGGAAAACTTGTAATGAGTTCTACAAGTTTTCCAGGTTTCGGGTTTCGGGCTCGGGGATCGGAAAATGACTTCTGGCAAACTGTTGAAGACAATCTAACATTTCCATGTCAACAATGTTGCAAAATGTGGGTTTCCACTTGTTTCATGTTTCGGATTTCGGGCCTCGGCATTTGGGTCTCGGGTCTTGGTGAATCGATAAGTCAATGATGAATTCCAGGGTTTTAGGATCGGCACATGGTGAATTTTGTAAGAAATTCCATATTGTGTATTGCTTCCAGTCTCGGGTTTCGCGGCTCGGGTTTCAGGCTTTGGGCTTCGGCACTCGGCACTAGGTGATTCAATCAGTCAGTGGTAACACTTTCAGTTTTGCGGTTTGGCTCTCAGCACTCAG